TTTGAAAAAGATAAATGCCTTGTCGAAATGTGAAGCTCAACACAATTAGTTTTAGCTGTTTTTAAATTCAGCTGATATTTCAAAGGTTATACATTTTATATCAAAAGTAAATCGAAGAACAGTTTTGTTAACAAAAAGTTCAATAGTGCTATTTTTTAACAACAATTTTTAACAACAATTTTGCTATTTCAAATTTTTTCACTTGCACTATTAAACCTTTCGGCATCAATTCTGGTCTACGACATACTTCTGTTATTTAATGTTTAACGATTGAAATTTCAACTGAASTCAGAAACAACAAWAACTAACTYATGTTAAACTTAACATTTCAAGAAGGCACTCATCTACTTTCAAAATAAATCCAGAAAAAAAATGTTTCTTATATTTACTTTGAGAAATCTTTCTGGCGATGACCGTTAAATAATCATTTGACACAAGACAACATAGTTCTTTATTGTCAGTATGTTCAGCAGTACTTTTGAGTGCATATGAGTATCATCCTATAAGGAAATGAAACAGAAACATTAGCTATGATAACAATTACGGAAAGAAACGAACATTATACTAAATTCATAAACTTTCACATGGCTTTTTAATTTGTGGGATTGGAATCAAAATATCAGTAAATGTATGCGACGGAAGAAATATAAAACTCTACTATACAATTATTATGTTCCAGAATTGCAGTTTTTTACCTCATATGCCTTGTGCTTTAGTGCCAATTATTTGCTGGGAGCATGAGGCTGTTTTCGCATGTCGATGATTGTTCTGTGCGAGCTGTTGAAGTGAATGAAGAGAAAACATGTATAAAAGTGTTCAAACCAATTGTAACTGAACATACTCTCTTACTTGCTTTTCAACTTGTCCATGCGATGACGGGTTTTGATAAGTCATCTCGCGGTGTTTGACTGAAGAGAAAGGCTTTTTCTTCACCGTCTTCCATGATCTTCTATCGTGGTGATGCTTGTTCTTCAAGTCTGTGAGGTGATGGTATATATGGAGGACTCCAACAAAAGGGTGATGTAATATGAACCAAGCACGAGAATTCTACATATCGCAGTCGGCATGGAAAACAATAATGTTATGTAATACTAAATACCAGCATTTTTCCAGAATCAAATACTTGGACAATAGTCACCTAAATAACCCTCAAACATCGGCTCTCATAAGTATTGAATAAGATGTAGAGTGATTACCAATGAAATCCCCAAGGTATACGCTTAAGTTGATAGCCATCACTAGGAAAGATATTGCCTACTTCCTAGAGTACATGTTATTGATCGCACAAATAAAACAGATCCATTATCTTATTACTTAGAAGCCATTATCTTCTTCCTTCTTTGGAT